GTGGTCCCTAGGAAAAGGGGAAGTTCCAGGTTCTCTGCCCCACCCAGAAGGAGGGTGGAGCTGAGCAGAGAAAAAGGAGAGAAGGAATGAGAAGAGAGAAGAGAATGAATCTGGATGGAGAACAAGGAGCAGACCTGAGGAGCAGCAAGCCTGTGAGGAAGAAGCCATGCTTGTTTCCTGACCTTGGACTGGTTAAGGCAGATGTGGGTGAGAGACCTGTAGGGAGGTGACTATTGCAGTGTTTATATTGATTTTTGATTTTGCTCTTTTACTCTCAGACTTGTCTCCCAGACCCTTTTCCATGGGTCCCGGCCAGAAAGTGCTTTAGTCTTGTGGCAGCTTTCAGGCCTTGCTTTGGGCCAATCCCTTTTGGGTGGACTTTTGCCCACGAGGGGATGGGTCACTTCAGGTGTTTGATTTAGAGTTATATTCTTTGTGTTCCGTATTGCATATTCACTGTATTAAAGTCCCTTTGCATTAAAGTTTTATATGTTTTGTCTTGTTGCGGCGGATGGCAGAACCCACTGAGAGCAGGCAGGTTCGGGGTGCCCCTCTCCCCCTGTCATATAACAGATTTTGTCCTGTAACAATAGTGTCTGATACCAATGCTCCCATTCATTTCACTCAACTTTTACAGAGTGCCACTATCTGGAAAGGATTGTGCCATGGATATGTTAGAGTTCCTCTAAAAAAGCCTTACAAGTATTGTAACTCCTTTGTTCCAACACCCACAAACCAGAATTACACATAGATACATAACATCTCTATGCATTCTTGAATGAGGAGTTTAACATGTTACAGTTCTCTTCTGATCTTTGCTGACAGATCTTGCCTCCTGAAAGAGGAAGTAGAACATCTTTAAGTAAGCCTGATCTCTGGGTTGGGCCTCTCAATTTTCCCAGGCCCCACCCAAGTGAAAAACACACCCTACTGAAAATCTAGTTGTTGTTTTTTTTTTTAATTCTTGGTAAAATTTTGGAGGGTATCCCTACACAGACCATTGTTTCTGTTCCTAAACAGAAGTTCATAACTCATTCAGAAAAACTTCATTCTGGTTGCAACTTGTTGAATTATATACATAAATCTCAGTCTGCCTTGAAAATATAAACCACCACGCACGGGATTTTCCATTTGGTATACACGTTTTCCAGATAAATAAATAGAGTCTTTGGTTCACAATACCCACCAAAGGGGTGAGAGTAAGGACCAAGGAGATGGCGGTGATGGGAGGACAGGGGACACCTCAAGAAAGGGAAAAGATGGTTATTTTTTGCTTGTTAAAATAATCTCAAGCCGGCCCCTCCCTGGTGGCACAGTAGGTTAAAGCACAGCACTAAGAAGCTAAAGCCACTGCAGCATGAGTTCGATCCCCGCCTGCCCCAGAGGTGGCCCACATGGCCCAGCAGACCTTTCCTGTCTTGCCGCTCTTCCCCTCAGCAGTGTACTTCGATGATCTGCCTGTTCTGCTCCCTGCTCTGTCTCTGGTGAGTGCTCTCACCCCCCTGCACCTCTGGCCTGTACCCAGTTCTGTATGCGTAAATAAATAAATCTTAAAAAAATAATAACAATCTCAAGCCACAGAAGGCTCAAGAAAAAACTGTTTTCCTCATTAAAATAATATCTGCAGGGGTCCCTCCTTGTAGGGCAGGGGGTTGGAATGCTGCACTGCTAAGCCAAACCAAGCCATGGCCGCTTCAGTGTGAGTTCAGTCCCCTGCCCCAGAGCTGACCCACATGGCCCAGCAGACCTCTCCTGACCCACCCTCTGCTCCCCTCAGCAGTATCTTTGTCAGTCTGCCTGTTCTGCTCCCCACTCTGTCTCTGGTGAATCCTCTCACCGCCCCTGCACCTCTGGCCTGTACCCCATTTCTGTATGCATAAATAAATAAATCTTATAAAAAAGTAATAATACCCTGCAGATATTTTTTGTGTCACAAATCTGAGACTAGACCAAAATTCCCAAGAAGTTACTACATGTGCAAATTATCTCAATCTCAGGCCTGCACTGGGAATAATGCATAATGCCAGGTTGAACGGGCAGCTGGACTAATCTAGGCTCATGGTCTCACAGAGGGCTGATTACTACTGCAAAAGTCCCTGAAGATTACCCTGTCAAATCATCCAAGTGTTACATGAGGACTGAGACCCCAAATTTGATTCATTTCTTCTGTGCCATAAAAAGTCACTAGCTGGGCCCTCCCTGGTGGTGCATCGGGTTAAAGTGCAGCACAAAGAAGCTTAAGCCACTTCCGCATGAGTTCCATCCCTGCCTGCCCCGGAGGAGAGCCACATGGCGTGGCAGACCTCTCCTGACCCGCCCGCTGCTCCCCTCAGCAGTGTGCTTCATCGATCTGCCTGCTCTGCTCCCCACTCTGTCTCTGGTGAATCCTCTCACCCTCCGCATCTCTGGCCTGTACCCCAGTTCTGTATGAATAAATAAATCTTAAAAAAAAAATGTCACTAGCTGCATAGTGGCCTGCCTGCATAGGCTCACTGGAGTCTACACTTCTTTTTTCTCACTAAATTCATCTTGTGAGGTGCTTGTTGATTTTTATATTCCAATTTGTTAAACATGAAAAAATTATATTGCTAAAAATCCTTGAGCTACATCTTTGAATGCTTTAAATACAAAGCATAGTATTAATAGGATTCTGGAGTTCAAATCCAGAAGAAGTTTGCTAGAATGAGGGCCAGGTGCTCAACTTCTAGAGAAAGTGCTTCCCAGCACAGCTGCATGACTTCAGGCTTGAGAAATGATGTCTCTAGGAGGGGAAACCACTAAGCTGCTGGTGTTAGTTAGGTTCCTGTCTACAAATCTAGCCCCCACCCCCACCACACCCACCTATGTGTGGTCTAACATTTTGTTTTGTATTAAGTAGGATTAAGGTGGTTTGGATTGAGACCTTAATTTAACATCAATACAAACACATCCACAACCATACAACTAGATCTAACAGTAACTGGTAGAGTTGAAGGTAAAAGTTTAGGCAGAGGTGACTGATGTGAATATAAACCTAAACACACTCCAGGAGAAGACTATTATCCCGGGTAGGCCCCAGAATTGTGGTTATTTATTGCTTTGGCACATCTGAAATCATCTTGATGACTAACAGTACAGTAATATTTCAGGAAGGTTATAAAAATCTATGGGCTTCACAGCATGGGTAGTGTGGGTCAGGTAGCAAACTTGCATTTCCTGATTTAGGAACCTAAAATCTATTATGCCTATTAGTGAAGATGTAGGCAGCTGGTCGAATATCGGGCTCTGTAACTCTGAATAGGAAACCAAATCTTATTCAGGTTCTCAATGAAATCATTTTCCTTTTCTGAGATCAGGTTGTCTTATCTCTACTTGTATGGATCCAAAAATTCATTAAGGTCATTTTCTCTAATCCAAAAGTTCTTGCTTTGGTGGCAGATAAAATGAAACTCTGGAATCCCACCTTTCTGTGTGGGCATTTAAAAACCAGGAACCACATTCTAGAAGGGAGCGTTTACCATAAAAGAGCTTATGAGCCAACAGACAGTTGGCTGGAGCATCTCAAAGCAAATCCAAAAGTCATTCTATTTTATAAAAGTGTAAATTTGTATTGGCACAGACAAACATAATACCTACTGACACTACATCCGGGCCATACAATTTATATGTAGTCAAGGAGGCTGATGAGAAAGAAAAAGATCATAAAACCAGGCTTAGGGAAGGCTGCTCCCTTCTAAATGCAAAGCAACTGAGGTGCTGAGAAGGGTCGGGCGGAGCTCCGGACAGATCACAATTCAGCAGCAAAGTGCGGAAGTGGAGGGAAGTTTTGATGTACAAAGTACTGAGGCAAACATCCACAGAGGCGTCAGGAAACCACCAGAAGATGCTAGAAGGAAGCAGTAGTGAATAATCCTAGAATAAGGACGGAGAGGGTCCCCGCTAAGCTAAGTTATGGCTAAATAAAGATGAGCGTCTTCATAATGGGGGCAGCTGAATGGAGAGAAAAGAATCGTAGGAAACAGTCACTGGGGAGAATCCGGGTGTGATAACAGAGACTGCTAAGGGACTTTGGGGACAGCAAAAAAAGAAAAAAAAAGAGTGGGACTGAGAGTAATGATTATTGAGTACCACGATTGTGAGGAGGGTCTTGCGAGGATAATAGGGAAGGGTGTAAAGTGAGGGTGGAAGATTGTAGGGGGAAACTATGGGAAAAGACGGCGTAGACGTCAGCAGCCAAGAAAAGAGAAGGAACCGGGGTTGGGGCGTGTCCCAGCAAGGGAACGGCTCAAGAGCCGGCTGCGGGGTGGAAAGGGGAAGGGTGGGGAGAGGCTGGGCTGACAGCTGCTCTCAAATGGCGCCGACAGGGTTAAGGCGCAGGGGCGACGCCGATAGGCAGAACCCGGTTTCCAGGGCAACGGCCCCGACAGTTCCGGCAGCGCGGGCGCGTACCATTGCGCGGGCGCGCGCGGGGGGAGCGCGAGGGAGGAGGGGGCGCGCGGAGGCGC